ATTAAAGTAGAATACTTAATATTAAAATAAACTATAGTTTTAAAATAAACTGCAGTTTATTATTATAATTAATAGTTTGTACCTCTAATTCTCTGGTAATTGTAATAAATTAAATATTAATTTCAATAATACATCACGCTTATAATGCTCATTTTTAATTTAATCAATCGAACCTAATGATTATATTGTGCAATATAATAACTGCACAACTTCAATTTAATTAATCGAACCTGAAGTCTAAACTATCAATATTGAAAAACAACTAGTTCTAAGAAATAAACAATAATAAAACAGTGATATACGTACTTATATAAACCTGATTAATTTATCATATCTAAATCAAAATAAATTATGCAATTTAACTGTGAAGTTGCTGCAAAAGTATTACAACTTAATCTTGCTAAAAAAACTCGTTTTCTTTACCTTAACACTCTTCACACTAGAAAATCAATTAAGAATTTATTAATATATGAAAAAAAACATACTAAACAAGTATCAGAATTGGCTGTTTCTAATTTAGTCAAACATGCTCAACAAACAAGTGCTTTCAGTATTTCTGCTGATAAATCAACCCGTAGCCAAGACAAGAACCTAATCATCTGTTTTATGTATTGGGCTAAGGAACAAAATTACACAATAGCAAGTATGATTAGTTTAAAGATTATAAAAAAATGCAATTCTGATACTATAGTAAATTCAGTTATTGAAACTTGTCAAAAATATCAACTTGACTTACGAAATTGTATGACATGGCTTACTGATAATATGGCATATATGTCCGAAAACTTGAATAGAGCCATCGTTAAGTTTAATAGATCAACAAATTCGAATTCAACTAGAATTGGTGCATTGCATAGTATTAATATCATGTTTACCAATTTCGAAAATGAAGCCTTCGGACGCATATCTGGTTTTTCAAAAAAGCTCATCTCTTCAACCTTCTATACCTTGCTTATTATCTTTATGACGGCTATGGAAACAGAAATAGTAATGCACCAATGAATATAAAGTCTGAATATATTCAAGCTCTTTATAAATCGCTCATTGGCATTGCTATTCACAATATCAAATGCCATTACAAACTCGTTGGGGATATGAATTGCGTACAGCCGAACAATATCTAGAGAGAAGAGAATCACATCTTGAGTTCGCAGAATGGTTTATTAAAACATTGGAATCACATCCTAATACAACACAGTCTTATTTGAATGATTGGTGTCTCTTCTATACCTGGCTAAATGACAAAAAACTTAACATTCAAATAAAATGCTTAACAACATTTGGCCAATATTTTTTTATCTCATTAATAATATTTCTTGTTAGTCAAGATCCTGTACCACAAATATTTAATGGTAACGACTGGATAAACCTATCTCGTGGTCGACATGCCCATGAAATGCCTGACAAAGTCTTAGAATGGTTAGACTTTTTTAGGTTTTGTATCAATTAATTAATACTTGTATAAATATATAATTTTATTTTGTATTCCCAAAAAAAATATTTATGAATTATTTAAATTTTATTAAGTTAAAAGAACAAAATTTAC